GTGTCAAAATATGAGTTATGTGTTCATATTTCTTCTACTTTTATCATTTCCACCTGATTCTCATTGCGTAGCAATTACCGCCGCTACCATTAGAAACTGTCCAAATTGTGTGGGAAAAATTAATACAAAAGAAGAATTGGAATTAACCAAGAAATCTTTAGTTATTGATAAACCAAATATTTGCAAAAATCAGCAACACAAATTAATAATTATTGTTAAAACGGCCGAATATGATCGACGAATGTTTACGAGACAAACATGGGCTAATGAAATCATTAAAAAATTTAATGTAACTGTTTTATATGCAATCGCATTTCCAAAATACGAATTAAAACAAAAAGAACTGATAGAAGAAGATAGAAAATATGGTGATTTATTACAATTTAATTTTACTGAAAACTATTATAATTTAACGCTAAAAACAACCAGCGTTCTCATCTGGTATAATAAATATTGTACTACTAATAGTCGCTTTCTTTTGTACGTCGATGATGATATACTGATAAATGCTGATAATTTAATGTCATATATTGATCGTACAACAAATACAAATATAACTGAAGGTTGGTTTGAAAAAACAGGAAAAATTAAACGTCAAGGAATGGGTGGTGTATCAAAAGAAAATTTTCCTCCTGATATTGTGCCAGACTATTTATGGGGGGCATCTGTTTTATATCCATCAAAGGTAATTTCTGAATTGTTGATTAAGACAATTTTTGAAACAAAAATTCCCATTTTTTTTCGAGACGATGTATTTATAAATGGTTTTATTGCTGAACAAGCTGGAATAAAAAGAAGACAAATGAATGGTGTTCTATTGTATGATCAAACTGAAGATCATTTAAAAGAAAATGTACTAATTATAGAATTCAGTAATGAGAATAATCGTATAAAAGCATGGAACTGTTACTCTAAAAATGTATCGTGCAATAAAAATAGACAATTATTGATCGCATATATACTGTTTGGTATTATTTTGTTCTGTATTTTATTCAGTTATTGTTATAAATATAATAGCGCCAAGGAGTTTCGTTATACGCTGAAAACAGCATGTCATCGTCTATCGATTATCCTGTTTCCCGGCGCTACGTCTCGCTACATAAAGAATAATGACTGGACATCAGCTGCTAGCAGACAACGATCGACCATCGGCGTCGGCCAGACAAGACTACAGGCTCGATGGTTTGTAAGCGTTTGCAAGAGGTTAGCGCGTTTGAGTCCTATTTTTATTTGTGCTACCATTTTATATTATTATAGTCAAAGTAAATAACGTTTACCGTATCGATTCCTTCACTCACTCGAACTGAATGAAATAAAACATAAGAATATTGGTTTTTTGACCTTTGAAGAAAAATAAACATTTTGGTTCAATGTCAAATACTCACGAGCAAACAACAAATGAAATTTACGAAAATTTTATACGTATTCATGTGTAAAAGTTTTGTTTACGAACTGTTACACGTACACTATGAGATTTTTACAAAAATTACGGAGACTTGGTGTAAACTCCGTTAAAACAATATGTATGTTTACATATGAATTTTTTCTAACGAAGTTTCACAAGTAAACAGTCTTGAGAAAAAGTTTACGTGTAAACACGTGTAATGTATTAAAGGTACCCCCCCTCCTCCCCGTCTTTTTACATAGTCTAACGTAGTCATTAAAGGAAAGTCTATGAATGGTATTAGAGATCGAATCGGGTCAGATAACAAAAAAGTTTCAGGTTTCATTTGGATCATATGAAAAAAAATTATGATTTTCATGCAGCTCTGGAACAAAAATTTGAACTTGCAATTTTTGTGTAGAAAATTCTTTTTAAGAGCTTATACACTCTTAAAAAGAATTTTCCTAAAAGAAAACTATCTCAGTATAGTCCGCTGAATGTTTTCAAAAGAATATATATAATCATCGAAAAATATACCTATGAATAGCTAAAAGAAGCTATTCTGCCATTTTCACAAGGACAACTGTATTTTTTCATAAAACCAAGAGGATATTGCGAAGCTTTCTTTATCTTTTCATCAACGCAGATTTACATATGTCACGTATTTTCGATGCAGTTCCACTAAGAATGACAGAATTTCTTAGAAAATCTATTTGAACGTGTCACAGTAGCGTTGTTTCTGTTGTTCGACATGAATTGAAAATTTTTTAAATTGAATAACTTTCTATCAGTTCATTTGAATCATTATTATAAAATGTTTTGTTGCTTGAGCATAGTGACAGTTCACGATGATAGAATTAATGACAATCCTGTACACCTCTCAACTTATTACGAGAGATCACCGACACGACGGCTACCTTCAATCGACAGGACTGAACCGTATCACTTTCCAATTCGCATGCACCAACAAATACCTCTATGTAGACCAAATCAAAAAATTGAATTAATTGAACAATGCCGGCTAATTTATGATGGTAATGAACTTGCAGAAGAAAAAATAATAGAATTTGAAAACAGTTACGATTCAACATATGCTGTCGAATGGTACAGCGTTCCAATAAATCCTGGTTTTTAGACCTTAAAGCCGAAAAATGAGTGACATGTTTTCCATAAAAGGTTTTATAAAAAAAGAGTCGAAAAATCGACTTTTACGGTATTTTACTTTTTCTTGTTGCGCTCTATTTTAAAATTCTAAACTATACTTGATTCAAACGAGTAGAAAATAATGAACAAAACAGGCTAGTTCTAAGAGGTCCATGCCATAAGTTAATGGGTTAAAAAATTCAAGTTATTCAAATTTTTCAGCATAAAAAACTTGGTTTTTTCGGACTTGTTACGCAGCTATTATATTACAACAATTGTAATGCAATTTGTGTAGCCTGTCTGTTCGTTTTTTTCTGTTCATTTGAGTCATCTCGTGTGGAAAAACTTGCTGAACAATAAGATAACTAATTGTGCACTTAATCGCGTGTAGTCGTCGATTTTTGCTGAGTTTTCCTCGATGCGAACTTAGAGCGAAAGGAATGATCAAAACATTGAACATCCCACATGCATAGAAATATTGATGCTCTTATCAAACAGGCTGTAATGAAAACATAAATAATATTTGTCAACTTGTTAAGACATAATGTTATTGATGACATAATATAAGCTCTGATACACCAGTAAAGCTGTGCAGGGTGGGAGTTTTTTGTATCCTACCCTACAGAAATGTCTCATACCCTGTCCTATCCTTCCCTATTAGCTTCCACATCCAACCACAATTTAGACAGTTTGCATCCTACATCCTACCCTACACCTACACATAAGAAAGTCGGAGTAAAATAGGGATCATTCGTTCAGCGATTGACGTTCGTTTTTCTAGCTACAGTTTTATTCAACAACTCCACATCCACATCCAATAACAACAGGCATAGATCCTCTCTGATGGATAAATATATTTATTTTAAAAATTAAAGATTATATAAAATTAAGATTATATTAAAAGAAGTTAGATAAATTATTAAGTTTATATAATATAACGAAGTTATGCACCACTAAAGGAGCTAATGTCTCTTAGTACTAAGCGTTCTTTAACTCATAGGGTACAGTCTATGACAAACGTCTCAACCTGTGCCCTATCCTATAAAAATGTTTCGTACCCTAAAGCTACCCTTCCCTGTCCTGTTAGTGTAGGGTAGGATCATCCTGCACACCTCTATACACCAGCATACAGTAAAAAGAAACTATTGATCATTCCAGTGAAATAACTATGAAGAGAAATATTAGTTGCTCATTTTAAGTGTGTGGTTATATGAATTGGTTAACAACACTTCTTTACAGCAAGATTTAGTAAGACGTGTATGAAAACTCCTTTGAATATATATCCCTTGCATTAGTTGTTGTCAACACAAGGTATTTAAATTCGCCGAAATAAGCGTAGATAAAATGCGTTTTTATTCTTTTTGATACACTATTGACTTAGTTGAATCAGATTATATAAAAACATTAGTCTAGTGAGTTCGTGTTTTCGAAATGGACAATACATTTTAATTAGTGCCTAGATTTTTATTTATCTGTTTCTTTCAAACGAGCAAATTACTATTTTGACCATGAGAGTTCGAAGTATTATGATAGGATTGATATAACTACACACTTAAAGTGAGCAACCAATATTTCTCTTCATAGTTATTTCCCGGAACGATCAATGGTTTCATTTTACTGTGTGCCGATGTATCAGGGCTAGAGATGGGCACCGGAACCAAAAAACTTTTCTAGTCCCGGTAAAAGATTTGCGTGCCATTCCATTAACCTTAGTGATCAACTATTATTTGGCGACGCATTTTGTACAAAATATTCGCTCCTCTTAAAAGTGAGCGAGGTAAAAGAGAAAGCATTGACAAATTTGGACGATAATTGTCATCTTTATAATTAGATTTCGTCCAATGTTTACCTATTATTTTTTTCTTTTTGTAATTCATCACAGCTTTTTCCTCGAAATGTTACTCGCTACCTTACAACTCTGATAAGAATAAGCGAGTAGAGAAAACATTTCTACACACTATTATTCTAAATTTGTTTTGTCTTTCAGCGTTCTATTTTAGAATACATATCTCTGCACTTTTTTATCAATGTTAGAAGGTGAAGAAAAGAGATTTTGGTCTCAATGTTAGAAAGGCGATACGTGCGCGTGACAATTGTTTTACAAGTGTCTGCTTTGATAACCTGTCTTAGACAGTTATTAAAACCAGGTATTCTCTGACAAAAGAAAAAATAGAACGACTATTATGAAACGAAACCCCGCTTCTGTTGGGCACGATAATGATACATTGAACGATTCGGTTGTTTGGGCGGTCGATCAAGATAAAGTTTCGATCTCAATTTTATCAAGATAAGCGGCTGTGAATTGCCTATATATTTTAATATATATCACAGGCCTTCGTTATCAATTAAAGTTGCAAATATAATGGCAAATATATATAGCCCCCATACTTTTTGAAAAAATTTGGTCAAATTTACTCCCAATTTGTGAAAAAAATATGAACGATTTACTTCAAATTTCGGAGAAACCTAAGGGATGATTTGCTCCGATTTTGGTTTTTTGGACGATGCTGCACCGTCAGAACCAGATGCCGATGAGTTACTACCTGATTATGTCGATTTATCCATCGTACCCAAGGATGCTATTTTAAACCGTCAAGATGTGGTCGCATTTGATGGACCTTCAACAGTGAAAATTACACGTAAAGAAAGAGGTATTAATTCATACGATCCATGTTTCGACAACGATGCAAACGAATTGTGGCGATATCTTATGACATAGCTCAATGAAAAGCCTCAGATGATTGCCCATATCAAGGGTTCTCATAGAGAAGTAAATCGAGCATATTTTTTGGTCCATTCGAAATTAGTAGATTTTCTTCATTTTCTTTGTTTTAGACTGCGACATATACGGCAAGATATCGGAATGGATCGAAAAGGACTTCATCTAGTTCTACTAGAGTAACCGATTTCGATTTTGATCTTGATTTGGCACCATTTATTTCACCAACGTGGAATCATGTTGCAGTTATTCAACCAAAAAGAAGAGAAAATACTGAAGTTATTGCACTAAGAGATGCTCTTGAAGAATACACTCTTTCGACTAACGCATTTAAAATTATTTGCAAGAAACAATTGGTTGGTTGGGATTTAAAACAACAAAAAAAGAAATTAAGCAAACAATTCGTGAAGCTGGTTATGGATATGACATCAATGTGGTAAGGCGACTTGAAAATTGAACATCTATTCAGAGATTTTTCCTATTTGTATATATATCTATGTCTAGAAAATATCTACGGCTGCTAATCAGATTACAGCTAAGTCATCATCGCCACTAAATTGCATTGGTCGTTTCAAAAATTTTCGATGATTCTTCTGCTATCTTACATGCTTGTGTATCTGTGCTGCTCCCATTTATTATTGCTTACGAGTGGCAGGCAGAGCGTCTCAACCGATTATAGCTGAATATTCTATGACCGGACCGATTAATAATTTTCTTCATTACAATCAGTGGCTGATCGTCGAGGCAACACGAAGTAGACAAAAAATACAATATACTGCTCGCACTGTCTAATATTTCTCTACATTATTTTCGAGTTGAACATTTCGATTGTTTGCGCATATATTTTGTCTGTTGGGTTCAAAGAATAAAATAGTGCATACTTTTTACCAATTTTGAATTCCAGGTATTATCCATTTCAAAATATAGTGGACAAAACTCTTTTTATCCAAAAATGGGAGTAAGACGTAGGCGGAAAAAAATAGAAATAAGTCATCTAAGTCGGTTCAGAAAGCTTCTTCAAAGAACACATTTAATATCAGTTTTCGGAGAAAGCAGCACTTTAGCATTCGAAAAAACCAAAATCGGAGCAAATCATCCCTCAGGTTTCTCCGAAATTTGGAGTAAATCGTTCTTATCTTTTCTCAAATTACGAGTACACCGTTCTTGATTTTGTTCAAAGTCGGAGTAAATTACTCTCCGAGTTTCTCCAAAATTGAGAGTAAAGGGCCCATGACTTCCTCTAAAACGGGAGTAAATGGGTCTTGATTTCGTTCAAAACGGTAGTAAATCATTAATGACTTTGTTCAACATCGGAGTAAATCACTCTCCGAGTTTCTCCGAAATTTCGGAGTAAATCGTTCATATTTTTTTCACAAATTGGGAGTAAATTTGACCAAAACTTTTTAAAAAAGTATGGGAGGGTAACCCTTCCCCCCTTCAGGACTTCCCCCAAAGTCCGGGACCTTTATCTATCAGCGTTCAGGCGTGGTAGACTTTCTTTGAAGGCATCCTACCGAGCAACCTTGATGTATGATAATCTTGGAAGTAAATGGAACATATGCTTGCTATCATCCTGAATCTCACGACAACTACAACAATTTTAATGCAATTTATGTGCCATTAGCAAATATTTGCCATTATATTTGCAACTTTAATTGATAACGAAGGCCTGTGATATATATTAAAATATATAGGCAATTCATAGCCGCTGATCTTGATAAAATTGAGATCGAAACTTTATCTTGATCGACCGCCCAAACAACCGAATCGTTCAATGTATCATTATCATGCCCAACAGAAGCGGGGTTTCGTTTCATAATAGTCGTTCTATTTTTTCTTTTGTCAGAGAATACCCGGTTTTAATACCTGTCTAAGACAGGTTATCAAAGCAAACGCTTGTAAAACAATTGTCATGCGCACGTATCGCCTTTCTAACATTGAGACCAAAATCTCTTTTCTTCACCTTCTTAATCAAAATTAGTTAAAAGCTTTTGAACCTTTTCTTCGTATTTAATTGAAATATATTAGCTAAACGTTTCGATAGGTTAACATATTATCATCACTAGTTAAAACAAAATGCTCGATAGACCCACAAGCTTTTTATAAATACGAAGAAAACGTTCAGAAGCTTTTAATTAAATCTGTCGTTTTAAAAATTTTTAACGGTTGTTCGCTTGATTGAAAAGAAGAAGCGCAGTTTTTAATCGAGTTTCCGAATATGATGAAGCATAGCGATAAATGAGTGTCTGTGCCGGATATGACTGAAGATACGAATTTATTGAGAAGATATCTGGAAACATTGCTGTATACTTTTCTTCTTCATAGGAATGTCCAGATTTCCCGATTATACAAACCATGGTCAAATTCTTGTTTTTAAAGAGTCGAAATTAGAAACATCGACCTACGCTCCGGCTTAATTACGGCTAGTTTTCCGTTAGATGAGCGTTATTAACACCGTAATTACGTGTCATTCTTTTACACGTATATCGGCCTGCAAAAGTTCAGCGTTCCTTTTTAGCGTTTTCTTTGAACGTAAACGCTAAACATGACGCTTTTTGAACGTGAACTTTATTTTATATGAACGGTGTTGACCTTGTGTGGAATGAGTAGTATCGCAAAACGTTATATAGCAATTTCACCTAGTAGTATACCAAGTGAACCGCTTTCCCCATTAGCAATTATATTTAGTGAAAAATCAACGCTCGTTTGCGATAACAAAGGAAAACGTATGTAGTTACTAAAATGGTTTGGAGCAAGGAACTTAGATTCCACTGCAGGAAAAATCAGTCTTTTGATCAGGTTTCGGTGATCTGTTCTTGGAAGAATCAATGGCTATCCTTTTTACATTGCAATAATCTGGTCACTACCTGGAGCAGACCATCTGATCGTACACTAGAGTTTCTATTGATCAAATAAGACCAAGCAGAAATTTATATGTTCTTACTATAGTACAAGAACAGAATTTTATATTTACGTCAGACAATATGAGCACCGTTCGTATAAAAAATAGTCACGTTCATCAGTGCTTTAACGTTCACGTCCAAGGAACGAAAAGTGAACTTTTACAGGCCTACACGTATATACGTGTGAAAATAATACTTTTTTCGATTAATTAGGTACTGGTATACTTGTTGAATTTTCGCCTGCTCGTCTTCAGTCTTTTAGACACGTGTTTCAGATAGCTCCAAAATCGATTTTGGGGACTGTTTGTACGACAGCTGTATTTTCGTACCTAATCAACATTCAGAGCCAAGACACTTTTCATTTTGAAGAGAAATGTTTAATATACTTAATTATGTAGTTGTAATTTTAGATTAGTTTGTAGCTTTACTGCAATAATCTTTTGAAAAGAGCGAAAAAAGGATAGCGTTAGCTGAACAAGCCGCCAAGAACCTTTTCAGTACAGACATGCGCGATTACAATTACAAAATGTAAAGTTCAAACATTGCTATTATCTGTAGAATTAAGAATTCTAGAATTCTGAACTTTTCATGCATGGAAAGTTAAACTTTACTTGTTCAGAATTCTAAAATTCTTAATTCTAGGGGTGTGTGTAAGGTTGAGGGTGAATATGCAACTTTACACGTATGTAAAGTTCAGAATTCTAGAATTCTGAATTCTACAGATAATAGCAATGTATGAACTTTACATTTTGTAATTGTAATCGCGCTCTTTCAGTACCTCTTTGTGATCTCCAAGTGTCGTACGGCAACAATACTTGTCAAAGAATATGCTGATTTGCAAAAACTGAGAGAACTTTCCGAAGCTACTAACATTTCCGATGTTAAATACTAAAACGAGCAGAGATCTGTTACAAGACAACTTCTTGCAATGTATAGGCTTTAATAGATGTGAAAGAAGCAAGAAAAAAATCACTAAGTTGTGTTCTTAGAAAATCGAATTCGATTTTCCAACTATTTAGAAAATCGCTCTCGATGCTGGGCTTTATTTACAGAAAATCCGTCGATTTTCTAAAAATTAGAAAATCGCTGTCGATTTTACAACTTTTTAGAAATTCCTTTTCGATTTTCTGGCAAATGAGAAAAGTCAGATTATAGACAATCGAGTGGATTTTCTATAAAGTAGAAAACCAACATTTTCTAAACAGTTAGAAAACCGCTGAGGATTTTATAAAAGTTGGAAAATCCTTGGCGATTTTTGAACTCGGTGAAACTGAGGGGGTATGTGCAGAATTTCAAGATGAATCCGACAGCGGACTTCTTTTAACTCAAATTCTGAGTTTCTGGAGGGTCGCCATAGTCTCTGCGATTTCTTACAGTGAATTTAGGCATTTTTTCTGTTCTGTGATGAACTCAAATTTTCACATGAAATTTAATGTTTTAAGGTCTAAAATCTTGGATTTCTAAGGTTTATTGGGTGATGGAGAATAACATGCAAATGTTTTTAGAAAAAAATCTTTCTCATGTTACGGCGTTTTTTACAGGGCTGGAAAATCCTCTCTTAGGAACCGAACTACGAATTCGATCACTGCGTTTGCATTGACTAATGTCCCTTCTACTAATACTGGCTACTTTTCATACCATCAAACAAGGATAATGTTGATTAGTATATAAATATCACGAAGATATCCTGAAAATTTTCCAAGGATATATTTACAGTTAAGAATCATATATATCTCAGTCTAGATATATCATAAAGTTTGCGCGCAACATCGATGAAATGATGCATTTTCCATGGAACTATCATTCGATAACAAACGTAAATTGTAGTCATGTTTTATAGAAGTAGAGAAACTGTTCTTTGTGTTTTACAAACATGAGTATATATATTATATATGTATATTAGATTTGTTTCTGAAGTATGACAAAGTTGGAATTAGTTAATGCTAGTGTTTACAACGTTTAAATTTTATTTGAGAACAAAGCAGAAAAATGATCAAAGTTTTTATATTATATTTGAGAAATAAGCCAAAACTAAAAGTACAATGGCTAACCTGTAGTAAAAATGCACAGAATGTCAATTTACTCATTTAATAAGTG